TCTTCTTTGGGCTCTCCGCTGATCTTGATGAGAGCCTCTTGTCTGTAGTTAATTCGCAAGTCCTTGGTCTTCTCTTGGCTGATCTTCAGTCCAACTCTCTGCGCAGTTATTCCAAGAGTATTGACTTTCTGTTGCACGTCCTGCAGCCGATGGGACAGGAGAGCGAGGTCGTCTGGGAATTCCAGGTCCTCTAGCTTCCTCATGAGGATCCACTGGATACCTTTTCCGGGGCTTGCATAGGCTGTATGTGTGACCCAGTGGAGCACCACGAGGAAGAGCAGTGGGGATAACAGGCAGCCGTGGCGAACTCCGGTAGTGACTTGGAACTCTTCTGAGAGTTTCCCATTGTGGATGATTTGGCAGGAGAACTCGTCATAGAGCCGTCGATAGTGACGATCTTCTCTAGCACCCCCATAGTACCGCAAGATCCTCCAGATCGACCGCCTGTCCACGCTGTCAAAGGCCTTTTCAAAATCGATGAAGCAAAGTAAAGGGGTGACTGCCATTCGATCGTCTGTTCCACGACGATGCGAAGTGTCGCAATCTGGTCGGTGCAAGATCTCTTCTTGCGGAACCCGTCTCTGAGGTTCTTATCAATAGCGTCCTCCATCCTGTCCAGTATGATTCTGGTGAGGACCTTGCTGGTGATGGACAGTAGGGTGATGCCTCTCCACTTGCCGCACCGCGACAAATCTCCGCTCTTGGGCAGCTTTATCAGGAGGCCCTTCTTCCAGTCGGCTGGGATCTCCTCTGCTGTCCACACAAGGTCCTGACTCCAGTAAGGGCGGGGCGTATGGTGGGGGCGATTGAGCACCTCCTGGAAATGCTCCTTCTTCCAGGCCAGCTGGGCATCGATAGAAGTGAGCAACTGTCCTTCCCTGTCCCTCACTGGGCGGTTTGCGTTGCACTTTCGTCTTTCGTTGCGGAGCCTTGTATGTGTAACTAATTTATTCCATTGATCTCCATTATCCGGTTCGTAAGTGACTTTGTCACAAGGCGGACGTGCCACGATTTGCAGGCTGGGATTGGACGATCGCTGAAGTTGCGCGTCAACTTCCGGTTCGATGATTTCATGTAACGTAAACGGCCATCAATGCATGTAACGTACTCTATGTGCAATTCATGTGCAGTGGGCGTGGTTAAAACTGAAGTGACGTCACACTTACGAACCAGATGAAGACTGGACAGGACACAGTGCCCTCCGTCTTACATGCACGCATTTCATCGGTGAGGGTTTGAAAGTTTAAATCCAAAAGCGTGGGCAAATTCACCACTCGATATAGGGAATTTACACACAGTTGGAGAATTCCAGCCGTAAAATTTTATGAAGCCTATTTTTCGATTGTGACAGAAATCCTCTATTTATTTAATCTGGCCCTTGCACATTCGAAACAATGCGGTTGCAACATTTAAAAAAAAGAGATAACAGTACCAAAGAGTAAAAAGTGAACGCATTTTGAGAGCACATGTAAATAAATACATACATTCCCAGTACGTCATGCGCGCACTGAACGCGCTGCCATCCATCGTTTCGTCCACTGACGCATTGCCATCCACTGTAATGTTTTGCCCACTGCTTGCCCACGCTTTTCAAACTCACGGTTGAAAGCGCAACACTGGTGGTCCATGTGTTTATATCTATGTCTGTGGTCACTTCGCCCATGTGCCACACTTCGCCCACGCATCACTTCTGCCCACGTGCAACTTCGACCACGCGGCACTTCGTCTAGGGCTTTTGTCAACAACGAAAGGAAAGGGTGTCACAGCCTAAACAGCTACTCAATCCCTCCAGAATTCATCCCGAATGCCACAAAAGATCAACAGTTCAATAAGGGTACTAAGATATAGTGGATTTGGAAAGTGTCTAGGTTGTCAGAATATCGTTTCTACGCTGAATGGACAAAAATATTTAGTTACTACAGAAAAATAGGTTGTCACTTGTTTCGTTTGCTCTATCAAACTAACTCTGTATATACCTACATTTCTAAATATCCAAATGACTAAATGACAAACTCTTAATATAATAATGTACCTAAATTTCTGATAACCAAAATTCCTACATAACTCAAGTTTCAAATAGGCCTAATTTACAGTTACTTTGGAATTCGGTCATAAAGTCTTTCAGGTATTTAGTAATATTTCGTTGGCTCTATAACCAAGTTCGGAAATACACGTTTCAGAAGATTCCTAAATACCCATCTTTATTGGATCCGAACTCCTAAATAGCTAACACTCTAAACACCTCAGTTCCTGATTAACTAAATTCTCAATTTACTCTTGTTTCAAATAATGTTGTTACTTCGGAAAATATTTATTTAGCTATTTAGATTATCAGTTATTTTGGTTGCAGTATTTCTAACTGCGTATATATTTCTAAATATCTCAATGACTTATTAATGACTAAAACTCTAAATACCTAAACTTCTGAAAAACCGATTTCGAAATAACTCAAGTTTCAAATAATTTAGTCAGATACCTGAACTTCTGCAGAACTTAATTCCTAAATAAGTCAAGTTAATTTCAAAATATTTAGTCACTGATGTATTTAGTGATTAAGTTCGCTACTTGACTAAATTCCGAAATGCATATACATTTCAGAATAACTGATTCCTATATACCTATATCCATAAATGTCGAAATTAAAAAACAATTAAAACTGTATATACCTCAGTCTATGAAGAACTAAATTCTGAAATCACTCAGGTTTCAATTAATTTGGTAACTGCACAATTTGGTTACTATTATATTTAGGTATTTAGTTCATTCATTAAGTCACAAAATCCGTATATATTTCCTAAAAAACTAATCGTATTATTCGTAAATATCGAAATCCCCAAATAACCTAAATAATAAATATCCCACCTCTGAATAACTAGATTCCAAAACAGCTCAATCTTTAAGTCATTTAATTACTTCGGCATTTGGTCATTGAGGTATTTAGGTATTTAGTTATTTGGTGAAGTTCCGAAATACGTATATATTTCAGGAGGAATAACTTTCTAGATGCCTATATTAATAACTGTATTTCGAAATAGGTTAACCTAAATTTCTGAATAACTGACTTGCAAAACAAATCAACTTTCAAACAATTTAGTTACTTTGGAATTTTGTAATTACGTTATTTAGGCATGAAGTTATTTTGTTATCTCACTAGCCAAGTTCCAAAATACGCATATATTTCAGAATATCAAGATTCCTACTTAATCATCTGTATCAATATCCGAATAGTTATTTAGGAAAAAATTATTTTAATTAGTTCTTTGGGTTGTCAGTCATTTTGTTTGCTGTATGACTAACTCCGTATACAGTGTATACCTACATTTCTAAACATCTCAATGACTAAAACTCTAAAATTAATACCTAAACTTCTGAAAACTAAGTTCCTACAAAATGAAATTTGCAAATAATTGTAATCACCCCGAGGTAGTTAGTGGTTTTCTTGTTTATGCATTCATTTATTTACTTCGCTTTCTGGCTAAGTTCCCATTTCAAAAGACTGACTCCTGTATACCTCTGTTTATAAATATCGAAGTAAAAAAGTAAAAATGTCAATACCTGAGTTTCTGAAGAACTGAATTCTGAAATCACTTAGGTTTCAATTATTTTGCCTGGTGAGGATTTCAGTTACTACTTCATTTAGGTATTTGTTGTTTTGTTAAGTTCCAAAATAGGTATCCATTTCCAAAAAAATAATAAAATTACAAATATCTCAACTTTTGAATAACTAAATTCCCAAATAGCTCAGTTTTTAAGTCATTTAGTTACTTAGGAATTTGGTCACTGAGGTATTTAGGATATTTCAGAATATCAAGATTCCCAATACCCATCTTTATTAACATCCTAATTCCTAAATAGCTTGATATTTTCATTATTGTATCTGCAAAGTTCACTCAACATTCCTATCAAAAAGGTGCAGTCCTGTCGGTTAATCACAGGCCTACTTGGTTGTGAAACGAAGTTATGCATTATTACCTAGCAAAATCTTGTGGGTGCACTCTGTAAGTAAATTTCCATAGAGACCAGTGATAAATCCCCGATACAAAAATTCAGGCTGCACCAAAAAATGATGTTCGGCATGTCCTCTTTCATGTTCCTTTCACATTTTAGTGGGTTGACTGATGAATTGTTGAGGAATTCTCTACCAAAGCAAACCACCTTATAATGAAGAAAATTTCCCTAAAGTAGCCATTTTGAAAATGCATCCCTCATCAAAATGGCTGAATAGTGCCACTTTCGGACCAGGTTGCATCCTAATTGCTTAGATATGGAAGCCCTAAGTCCAGACCAGAGGTTCAGTCCCATTTTTCTTCAATTCTCAAATTCCATGACTCTCTAATATAGAATATTTTTAGTGTATTACTTTTATTAATGAGCTCAGCGGACATATTTCTAGCCTATTTACGGTGATGCACCCTTGTACATGGGTGCCGCCATGTTACTTGCTACGAACTAGCTATAACTAGTGGTACATTCCCCTGGAGTTTGCATGGCCGACCCGTGAACAAAATCAAGCCCCTAACAAGCCACCTGAACTCTGCCTTATATTATGCAATCACTACCTTCAGTCACTAGCCCATAGCCCAAGTTTTGGCAATGGTAATTTGTTAGAGTGCCACCCACTGACCCTCTAAGAAAAGCTTAGAGACAAGAAAATAGTACAAAATCTAGGTACCAACTAGCGCATTCTTACTCCATTGTATGTGAAATCCAACTTGCAGGTGTTTGGGTATCTACTCCCCTCTTCCCACATTTCACTTCAAACTTTTCTGATGTCAAAGCTGAGTAAGAACACAATTTTACTAACAAAAACACGCAAAACATAAAAGAGCAGTGTGAAAACAGGCCTGAAAAGGGAACTCATGGAATGAGCCATTTGAAAAAATTGCAATTAAGGTACTGAAAAACTGTGCTGAGATTTGCGTTGCAAGGGTTTAAAGGCTGAGTGACAGTAATAAGGTGAACTCAACACCCACACACACGGACAACATTCCAATCCAGGGTTAACTTTTCCTTCTGACTTTTATTACATTGCATAGATCTATCAAAAAAGTATCTACTTTCAATTACTGGACATCCCGTGCCACCATGATTCACCACAATGATACCGTACCTAGATCACATTTAAGACCAAAAAATTCTGTACTGTACACAAAGCAAACTTGATTTCAAGAAGTTTCTTGCGACTATTTCAAAGGTCTGGTTTAAAACCCAATGCAGATATCTGCATCCACAGATTCTGAAGTAAAACACACACTATGTGAATGGAAACCGTTCCTAAATACGTATCCCCCAAAACTGTCAAGACTTTTTGCTTATGCTAATACATACAAAATAGGGAGATCAATGAAACAGCCTCTATATTCAAAGAATTATACTTGGCATAATTCCAAATGAACAGATTTAAACACGTGTCCCTTTTTCAATTTTTAGTTTGAATTGAGGTATACACCAAACTACCTGCAACCTAAATTTTCTGATGACGAAACACAGAAAGTTTCTTGGCCTCATTAAAGTTGTATCATCCAAGAAAAGCCAAAAAAAGACTTTTTTGGCAAAACACGTTACCCAGCTCTCTCACTAAGTCAAATACACTAAATATTATACTGGAAACTCTAAATATCATGAGCTTTCTGAATGTATACCCATAAAGTGTGCATTTAGTGACAAGATACACCCCATTCCAAGTCCTGGATATCTGTCACTGTTGACAATCAGTGACCAATTACAAGTGATCTGTACCATGAAAAAAATTGTAAACTTTATCTATTTCTTTTTGTCTTTTTTTTTTTTTTTTAATAAATACACCATCACTTTAAAAGGTCTATCCGGTTGCATGTTGTATGTAAGTTTTGCAATACAGGTATTCTATGACAATTGTGTGTTATTCAGATACATGTACAACCGATTATGAAAGGTTCCCATGGCAGTTTTATTGATATTTTGATTTCCAGACAAGAAATCTACTCGTTGAGCTATCAATAAACAAGCTTTTCTTGATAAAAGGAAAAAATTGACATTTCTCATTTTCAGATGATCATTTTACCTGTGAGACGAACCTCTGTTTTGACTAATGAAACAGCTCCTAACATGAGTGAATTTACATGACACTTAAATGTTAGGCTGTATCCGAATCTCTTGTCGAGAGCTAGGTCTAGGTCTTCGCTCCATTTGAAAAGCATGGAGACGCGTAGACAATAGACCTAGCCGTAGCTCTGGAAGCCCTTTTCGGACACGGCCTTCATGTAAGTTGGACAAGTGAATGGTATCATCAGTACTAATTTCTCTCTCTTAATCTGACATTTCAACTTCATCTAAACACCACCGAACATCCTGATCTGTATACTACCTTTCAGAAACTCCCATGATTAAGGAGAGCACTGAACTCTGTACTGCTATTGGCCGACCTCCACGAATGATAATGAGTCAACATCTTATTAGCATACTTTTTCTGTCTATGAATACAAGTTTTTAACCAAGGCAGGCTGCCCGCAGCCTGTGCGTATATATACTGTATATATATTTATTTTCCAGTAGAACTCGTACCTCATTTTGATACGATTTGACATGACTTGACATACAGAAGTAAATGAATGTTTCTGCTTGTTTCTGATGTCAAAGGTCACAGACATTACATGGAACCATGCTGATAATTAAGGCCGAGTGACAAAATTGATAAACCACGGAAGGGTCTTTCAAGAAACCAAGATATGTTTTACAGGACAACCATCCCCCCAGTGCTTAAAATTCATTTTTTAATTGAAGGCTGTTGCTATGACAACCAGCATCATAGTCTCACAAACTATTTCTGTTGTATGAGGGTGATTAAAATGTAGAAATGAGACCTGCTGCAGAGTCCCATCCGCACGAGGCCAATCTCCCTGTAGTAACAAGCATACTTCAAATCTTTCAAATTAAACCCAACGGCACTGGGGATGTGGGACCCCCGAAAAGGAATCTAGAGCCAAGTTCGATCTACACCCATTTGTTGATGACTGGTTCATTTTGCATGGTGACAAACACACGCAAACATACCCCTGGGGAACCGGGCAAACACTGATCGAATGGCCCAGACAGTGCAGTGCACCCTCACTTCTTGAAGATGTGCCTTTACCTCTAGTCATTCCCTCCACAATATGCTATTGATGCCACTTAATTACACCATGTAATGCATCCAACTTCTAAGACACTAATCAGAAACACCTGTGTTTCTTGCTTTTCAGGGACATTATGCAAAAACAAACAAAACGTGACTGGAATAAAAAAAAAAAACTCCTACATTCTGAAATTTCGTAAACTAGTTCTGAGCCAAAATGAAACACTTTTGTAATAAAATATGTGACCTTTTACATATATGTAAATGTCTTTATGCAAGTTTTGAAATGTTACTACTGAAAACAACAGAAAAAAATACATGTATCAATGCATAACTTCATAGGGAGCTTGCTAGGTGTAGTTATATATTAAATTTGCTTTTTAAATGAGTTTTCTTACAATGATACCAAAACCTAAATAGACTGCAGCCCTTTAACACTAATTCATTTCCATAAACTCCTTGATTTTATCTTCCTAAATTCACAGAAAAAAAATAATAGTTCCTATTTACGAGACATCTAAATCATCCAATTTCTTTACATATATTAAACACAACAATGCATGTTTGTAGAACTGTTCATTAGTTGCAAGTTAGTCTGAGAGAAAAAGAAGTGCCTTCAGCGAAATCAAACCCTGCTGCTGCATTTCTGACAACAATTTTAAACAACACGGGTATTTCCCGCCACAACCCAATTTCATTAGGTTTCAAGTGCCCTAAATAAGTTAGATTACACCCTCGTTTACAAGAAGTGCAACTTTGTACAACTACAAGAAATGGTTGACACTATCTGCTTTGCAATATGCAAATGAGACAAATTATTTGCATATATGGCTTTCTTGTTTCAGCTTATTTTCCATAGTTTGTTACGCCGGTGTTTACAAAATTGAACAAACATTTAGTGGTACCTGTATATAAACGGTAGGTCAATTTGGCACTATTCTAACAACATCCACCAGCAACAGGCTTAAAAAATGTTCATGCCTGCCCACTACCACAAACAAAAAGCTTATGAACTGACTAAATCGAGTGTGTATATGAACTACAACCACCTTTAATCAAACTTGAGCTGGTCAGCAGAACATGCGCATTGTACATGTACATGTGTAACTAGTGTGCACAGACCAGCCTAATGTGTACATGGTGTCTTAATGCTTTAAGTTGAACGAAAAACTTACAATGTATTACACAAATATCAAACACTTTCTATAAGAGTCACACACCTATGATATGCATGTACATCACAAATAGTCCAAAAGGTGTACCAAGAAAGCTACTGAAAATTTATCTAGTGTACTTCTGCACAGACTGAAGCAGTTCAATGGCGCACTAGTCACAGGTTGAGGGACAATCTCCACAAAAATTAAAAGAAAAAACTGCCCAAACTGACCAGACAAGTTGACAGGAGACACACAATGACCGGTGCAACCCAATGAAAAGAGCTGTTAAATATCCACCTGTCAACTTACAGCGTCAAAACCTCAGTGCTCAATGGCCAGTGGTAAAAAGTGAACATTGTGCCTATTATGACATTGTAACTGAAGCGCGTTACCTTGTGGCCCCCCAAAAATGAGTTTGTCAATGACCCAGCCACAACCTTTGGCAAGGGATGACCTGGAGGCTAATTTTGTTGAGCACAGTCAACCACAATCAGATAAAATTATTCCAGATGACACAGTTTACAGTAAATTATGTAAGAAAACAGTACTGTATCAGTCAGACTAACTCCAATCTTTCACAACTCCGTAAATAATCTCTGGCCACAGAACACTCACGGTGGGAATAAAAAAACTGTGTGCAAAATGTCATCTTGAACAAAATACAAAACAATAAACTCATCCGTACGTATGATCAGCACATCATTATATATTAATTCCAGTGATGTACTTCAATATACTGCCTTAATCCCACAATTACTATTCTCAACACATTGATGGAAGACAGATGGGCTTAATACCTTTAACAAGTGAAACCAAAAAACACCAAGAAAAAGAGAGAGCAAATAAGTTGGAATCATGTACAATTTCGAGAGATTAAATCTGATGAACACTGGAGGGCATTCAGAACAAGTAACTTGACCAAAAATCCAATCCTGGAACTCGAAAACAGTGAAACAATGGCAAAGCTTGATTGAAGGCCAGTTCATATATGAAGCAAACACGAAAGTGACATTGTGACATCAGATTAAAATTTGTGCTGCAAATTCCCAAAAGTTTGACACATTTCAACTCAAGAATTGCACTGCAAATGTTGTTTGATGTCTAATTCACTTCGCTTTTGTTTACCTGAAGTATGAACCAGCAACAAGGCAAGACTGATATCCACTGAAATTATGGCCAAGTGAGTTATACGCATTCATAAACTTCCCGGCAGGCCTGGGGCCATCAATGGAACAGCAGACCCTCTCCCATTGCTTCCCAGGTAAGTATTTGTATCAAATGCCCTCCAGTGTTTCCTTGGACTGAAACGGAATCACGGTGACGGCAGCTTCCCTCGTTTGCCTGCCGTCACCCGCCATGAAACTTAGCTCTTTGCAAAATCATATATGCACGAAATCTGCATGACTGTGATTGGTAAAATGATTCAGACTGTCCACTCTGCATGCAAGGCGATCAGGTGCCACAATTTCTCGACAAAATATTTTTGTTGACTAACAACTAACACAGATTTACACAACAAACCACATTTAGAAGGCATCAAATATGATTTCATTTGCTGTATATTTCTCTGACAGGCATTCCAAAGAATGTGTCCGCACAGAAAATTTGACTAACGATGAAAAAACACATCCTTTCATACAAATGAAAAACATGAAATGTACAGCACAGAGTTAGGCTACCTGGTCAGCAAATGATTGCTCAAACCATCTTTGAGTAACCCTAAATATCTTCATGGATGGGCAATCATTAGCTGGTCAAGAATTGAAACTGTCAACAATCACAGATAGCACAGACTCGTGAGGTCTCGGTCAACCTACAACTGATTAGGAATCAATTTCTTGATCTTAATTGTCACTGTTGTCACTGTCATTGTTTCCAATGCTTGCTAGACGTACATACATTATCATCCCTAAGTCCAGAAGTCGCCAGTGTCAAATTCACAAGTTGGCAAGGAGCAAAAGCCAAATATGAAAGTGACAGGACCGAGAACCGAAATCTCCAGTGAGGTGTCTTATGTGTACGGCATGATGAATAATAGATTATTGTACACAACACAACCTCAAATATAAAACTGCTGACTGCAATTCATTAGAGGCAGGTAAAAATATCAAAAATAAGCACAGCAGTGCCCTCAAAACAAAACAAACCACAACAAAACAAGACAGGACGCACATGACGGAGAACGAACAAGGATCACACGGTTCATGATTACTTTCTTTGTAAGTATTTGCGATACAAAGTAAGCCCCTGAGAACTAACCAATATGGGTATGTACACTGCACAAAGGTGTATATATAGATATTGCGACAAAATCGGGTGTGGAAAGGAACCAACAAAACAACACTCCGTGCTACTGTTTCTTCTGGCAGCACCTCCCAGCTAAGCAGCACAAGTTTATGTGGCAGCAAAGTAGGAAGGCTGGGTACAAGACATGTTGATCTGCAGGCCCAAGCCACATCAAGTATTTTTTTCATTATGGCTATGGATAGTCACAGCAGCTTGTAAATGGCGGGGGGGGGGAGGATAAAACAAATGTCACAGCCGCAGAACCTGATCAACTCGACATGGCTATAAGCAGCACTGCCCCGTTTTTCAAACCAGAAGTGGAATGGAGAAGTTGTATGGATGATTGTGGCTGACAGCAACCTTGGTCCAGTGGAAACACAGATTAGAACACTGGATGATGTGCTGATTGTCAAACAAGCCACTCGAATGGTGTCATCACTTGTCCAAGTATCTTGATAGTCTTGTCTTTGTAATCCTCTGGAAAGCCACCAGCTCACACAGGATGCTATCCACCAATAACTGTTTGCTACATTACAGGGGTTTGTGATTGAAAGTTCATTGTTGCAGCATTCCTAATCCAGGGGAAACGTGGTGCAGCATGTGAAATCTAATCGACGGACATTCTAAATCCAGGGGAAGGGGTGAGGCTGGCAGATGCAGCTACCTTGCATGCAAAAAAGGGGACATCATTCCCAAATCACAACCTTGGAGAGAGAGTCTGTGTGTGTGCATGTTTCAGACGCCATCCTTTACCAGATCCTCTAAGTTTTCTGTTTCTTTTCAAAATTTGCTGACTGGATTGGTCAGCGTCACTGAGAGCTAAGAATCATGGCGATGTGACTGTCATCGTGACACCTGGGAGCTGGAACCGCTAGCTTTGCTGGACCCTGTACTGCTGATACTGAGAGCTGAGAACCCACTGTGGCATGATTTCAGACTGCTCATCGAACCCCTATAACATGTGGAATGACAAACAGATCATGAGTGTTCATTAATATATTCATGAAAAGATGATGAATATTCATTAACATTTCGGGGGGGGGGGTAATTGTTATAACTACCCGTAACTGCAATGTAAACTGCACACATTGAAGCCTTCACAGTTTTAATTTCGTTTTAATGCTTAACTTCATTTTACAGAGTTTCCAAAATAATGGTAGGTTTGAGCACAAATAAATATACACTCTTAGGAATGAATTCAAAGAGCATTGGGACATTTGTTGCACTCTTGTTCAGAGAATAAACCTCTCAGACGTCAGGGGAGGATAATGAAGATGGACCCCTCCCAACATCTCCAATTATTTGGATCCTTCTTGAGTACTAAAAATCGTACATAGCGCAACATTATATTCATCTAATGGAAATTTGACTTGAGAATTATCTGCAGCGAAATGTTGTCTTTTGTTGTGTATCTTTTTCATATCAAAGACTTCACCAATTTCTTACTTTTTAAAAGAATGAACTCATGACTTGAACTTTCAAACTTGGCTACCCCAATAAAAACCAGTCAATTTATAAAAAAAAAAAGACAACAATCCGACGGGCATTTAACAATGACTGAAGAAAACAACAGCAGTCAGCCATGGGGCTAGAGAGGACGACAATCAGTGCCAAACAGTTTTTCCCAATTTGTTTGGACAGCCCCCCTGCAGCTATCCTCTTCCTTCATTCTCGGGTGCCGGTGACACTCACCTGAAATCTTCATGGGACAAGACTTCGTAGTAGTACATGATCTTGGACTTGTGGTGGTGATGGTGCACCTTGGCCTGGTCCATCTTGGACTGGCTGGAGCTGCTGTAGAACTTGAACTGTAAGATATACCAGCCGGGCATCTGGCATACATGCGAACCCTGAGTGAAAAAAAAAAGTTGGATGCTTGTTCGGTTGACTCTGTGGATGTAGAAATTCTTATTTGTGAAGGTAAACTTTCTGACACCCTTTCTTTTGTTTGCGGCAAGATCTTCAACGGAATGTCACGGCAAGATCGGGACTTGTTGAAAACTGAAAACATAGAATTTCTAATAAGAACATGACCAAAAATGGGTGACATCACACATTGCTCACCAATTGGCTGGTAACATATGCTCTTGCAGGAAGGTATTAAATATCAACACTTTACTCCAAGCAAACTTCAGTAATTTGTGTGTGTGCGTTTGTTGTAAGGAAGTGTTCAATGGGGGTCCTTGAAAAATATAGACCAATGTTGTTCCGCTTCCAACAAGGGTCCGCCATTGACAATCACACAAAACACATAAGAAGTCTGCCATAAAGTGAAAATAGGAGTAAAACAAGAACAATAGCAGGTTCCAACCTGAAGGTAAAGACACAAGTTTGTGGATGTGAAGAGGCATATCGGTCACTCTGTGGACCTCTGAACAACAGATATCCACACAGTGCCATTAGCAAAGACCTTGTGTAGACTTGTCAATGACCACACAAGGTTTCCCCTTCTGAGAAGCCGGTGGGGTTAGAGTTACTGTCGCAAAATGAACGGGAACAGTCCAGGAAATCGTCATCAAAAATCCAGCTCCGAGGAGTTATCAAGGCGGGAGAAAAAGGAGCAATCCCCGAGGTTTCTTGACCACAGGAGAACAAAGGAATGTCCACATATGAAACAAGCGTGGATAGTCTACGCACCACACGACTGTGTGGACCACAGTGCACTTGTTTTATCTCAATGGAATACCAAAAAGGCCAATTCTTGAACAAACCAGTCGACAATAGACTGCAACCTACCTGGATGCTGGCTCCAGCCTTGCAGACCAGCGGCAGCTCCACCTGCCTGTAGTCCACACCGCACACATGTGACTTGTCAATGTACACCGAGTTGGCCGGCCCCATCGGACCCATGGGCTCCTTGTGAGGGGTTAAAGGTCGCCTGGTCATCAAGACGGAGAAGACGACGTCGCCGCGCAGAATGTCAAAATCCCAGGTCAGTACTTGGTGGGCGTCCGTGATGTGAATCATCACCTGAGGGTGGGGATTGGAAGGAGCACATCAAGCCAAATTTGGACCGCTGGCAAATCTGAAGTTACTTTTAACTAAAGCTAAAACAAGGAAAAAGCTGGCTCTCCAAAAATCTCAGTGAAGACAACATGTAGATGAGGCCTAATCATCAGAGTCAAGGAAGGACACAGGGGCATGCAGTTGCAAATGGATGGAATTGACGGTGATAATGTTAACTATTAACTGGTCATGTACCACCAGCTATCACTTTTGTATGAAGAGACTGACACCGGAGCCTGACAAAAATGTTTGACTTGTCTGTCGACAAGCAGGTACTTTACATTTGTTCCCAAGAGGGTGAAGCTCTCTATAAACTGAAGCAATATATAGGGCCAAATTAGCAGGCTCGACTGGTGCATGCCCTTTACTTTGCTAATAAAAGATGACAAGGTCTGAACAAGAAATGTGCAAGAAATAGAGACTATGACCATACCTTTTGCTTTTAAACCCCTACATACTTTTGTATAAGAGGGAATAGAAAAATGGACAAAGTGGAACATCATAGTGCATATTGGTTAAAGGCAGGTTGATTTGGATTGAGCTGACTAGTCACCTCTTGAGGTAGGCCTTTCTGTACTGTGGCTGATTTGTAAATAGTCTCGGAGCAGAGAGGTAGTTCGTCTGGGTTCTGGAGATCTTCCATGGAGCGGTAACACGTCTTAGGGATAAGACCCCCCTCTGGAATATCGCACTGGGAAGATCATATGACAACAGTTTAACGTCTTGATTTCAAAATGATGGTCCATGTGTCTCAGACAACCTTTTTTCTGGAGGAAATGTATATTCTATCCAGCCCTTTCCCCCCAAACAAAATAACATCTGATCTTTCTTGAACAAGGATGCGCAAAAAACCACCCAACATCGTAATAACAAAAAGTAAGGAAATAAGTGAGACAACGCCCTTCTTAAAGGATATTGTAAAACGTACAGTCCAAGAAACATTTGTGTGTAGAATTTGGTTGTCTAAATGCAGCTCCTTCAAAAGCAACTGAAGGCCCTTTTTCTCGACTGACTTCAATTGATTAAAAATAATGGAAACTTATGATGCACTGGTCACTGCATATTATACATAAACTTAACAGAGTAATTGTTTACTTGACAAGATCATACTCACATAGCACTCCCCACCAAGGAAGTCCGGGATGAAGTTTGAGTCGATGTGCTCTGGCAAGCCCCCGATGCTCTCCATGTAGTTCTTGCCACCGTAGATCAGGAACTTCTGTCGAGTGTTCTCGTCGATGAAGGGCGAGACCAGGGTCCAGATGACGGGGAAGACCCGGGGCGCCCGGACGATCAGCAGCTTGCCCATGGTCTCTGGGTAGTTGGCCTCCACCACCTCGATCATGCGCAGCAGGGCCTTGACACCTGGGCGCCACAAGTGACGCATGGACAGGCCCTCGCAGTCCACCAGGCAGGTCCAGGAGCTGATGGGGTGGCCGGCCTTCTTGGTGGCCTCCTCGGTTCTTCTCAGCCCTTCCTCGTTGATGGATAAGACCTGGAGAGGAAAGGGCAAAAGTCAGGTCCTTAAATGCATACACGTTACCAATAAGTGCCAAGCGTGTGAAACTAGGCCAAAATGTACCAGTACCGTTGTTGTTCAGTCATTATTAGCTTTTGAGTGGACATACACATGTACCATGGTCACATGAGAATACAATCTCACTGTTTAAATGTCATAAACACGAAAACCAGAGTAAAAGCACTAACAGGATTTCCTTTTTTGGACTATTAGCTTTACACTTTTTTAATATATCTTGTCGGACCACGTTTGCTTTCGGTCAGACAAATACCAAAACTGGTCGGAAAATGGACAATAATTTCTTGGTCTGAGTACCCACTGGCTAAAACACCAAGTGTGTACTACTTGTAATGGTTTCATTGTCAAACCCTGTACATGTAAGTGGGTATAGTTTAAGTTGCACAAATGAACTTAACTAACAATCTCATGGTGAACTTAAACTGAAATGCGGCTTGAGGGGAGACTAAAACCCTACAAACTGCTGACAGTTGTACACAGCTACATGTACTTCAGGTGAGAGGGGTTGCACGTAAGTCAACACTGAAAGGCATAGTTTAAATGTTAATCTGCAATCCAACTATTGATACTTTCACTGTAATGTTTAATTTGCTGACACAGGGAAGCCAAAAGTTGCTTACTCTTGGGCTTAGTTCACAATTATGTCCAACAATTCAATCATTTCAGGTATCCCAGTTACTTCTGGCAAAACATGTACAGTGAAACGCTGCTGTAATAAACAAGACGGGGTCCACACTAAATATTCAATGTAGCGGTCGTTCGGTATAGCGAAATTAACTGCCGAATGTTTCGTTGCCATGTTGAATAGCGCCCTCTCTTGTCTAACTGAAGTGCACCCACTTGTGATACTACGATTCACTGTTTTCGTGATGTTTTGCCTTTGCATTCGCGCTTGAGGTTTCTAGAAATGTATTTGTTAATTATTTTTGTTTTTTATTAAATCTTGAGGTACAAAATTACTATTTAGTTTATCCTTAAAGTGGGGAAGCTACCACTCAGGATTGATCTCTGATGCATGCTGTGGTGAATCTCGGTTGATTTGCAACTGCATAATGTTTGGTAGGTTTTGTGTACAAAATATTGGGAGCCAAGGACGATGTTCGGTACAGCCGAATGTTTGGTATAGTGGTGTTCGGTATAGTGACGTTCCACTGTATGCTACTTACATGTCTTAGAATAGCCTCTTCTCCAGCCGCTTTGATTAATCCTTTGACATCCATCTGACCCAGGCGAACAATGTACAGAGGTCGGCCCTCTGTGAAAAAGAAATAAATAAATGCAATTTGTCCCAACCGCCTCAACTGTGCAAACATCTGACGAGGTGTGGCATAATTTACAAGGATTCAGTGCTGAAGAAATTTGTTGTTAACTTCAAATATTATTACACAGAATTAGTACTGTATATACCTGTGTTATATTTCTTGTCACATTTTTTAAAGTACAAAGAACAAGGCACTGTTTCAGTTTTCCACACTGTTAGATTCTGGATGAATCCTAATAAAACCTCAGGGTTTTAAACTGGGAAACTACCAAGACCGGGAGTCAGTCAATATGGAGTGAAGATTTGGCTTTTTTCAACCACTGACTGCTATTTACCAATCAAATGCGCTTTTCAAGGTGTTTCACTGTTACCCCAGCTTAACTAACCCTACGAATCACTGCAAAAACCTTCTCAAATATATATATATATTTTTTTACACATTTTTCATTTGTCTTTATTCCTCTTTTCGCTCCAAACTGAACCCTTGTGACTCATACCACTTCCTAGATTGTCGCGCAGATAAATGTCAAAAATTTGAAGCCTTTTCAAATCCATTCATGCATTAATGAAGGCTGCTATTCTGACCGCTGTCGTAGTGATGCCATCCCCCGGCAAAGAATCTGGTGAGGATCTCCGGGGGTTCCCAGGTGCTCAGGATCTTATCCACCTGATGTTGTTTACGCCAGGCCAGGGACTCGGTGATCATTTCATGGGCCTTCTCTGTGTTGAAGTCCCGTGCTCGTAGGAAGCGCAGCAGGTGCATGTCCTTGGGCATCTGCATCATCAGGGTGAAGAAGAGTAAAAAAATAATAAGACGGGGGAAAAATGGCGTGATAATATTTCTCATTAATATTTACAGAATGGATGCAAGAGTTATGATTTGGGGCATATTTCAGCAATTGCATCCTTGGGCGAATAGACCCTGCAAATTAGTTTTGATCAAAGCAGTAAAGATGTAACATACGTTATTTCTGCATGTGTTACTGACATTTTTAGTGAGAGTTGATGCTATTTTGCGGATGTCTTTGTGAATTTGTGCCCATTCAACTGGAAATCTACTGCACACCCTTCATGATTCACAGGCGTGAACCAGGGTACTCCTGTGATTTTTGTATTTCCTAAGCTCTTCTGAGTTGGCCACAGTGTGCAATCTAAGAATCTAGCATGACCGGAACGGTTGGCCTTCTGCACCAAATCTCTCAGAATCGGCACAATGTGAAAACATTCTCTAAGTGTTTCATAACAGGTTACTGTGATCTACATGTATAACAAGTAAAAAACCCTCAGATTGTGTGTACAGAGATAATGATCTGCCCCCTGCAGTGGTGGCCCAAGGATGATAGAACAGCTATATGTATGTATATATATCTAGTAGCTCAACCTGGAGAGGGATATAAATTTCTGGCTCAATGAAAATCCACTCAGTCACATGATTCAAACAGCTTCTTGCCGAGCAAGACAAAAAAGGTCCCATTTTTAAAGCCCAAACTTTAATCTGATAAATAGTATGTCCGTTAGGTGGATGGCTTTCATACATTGATGTTTAAGGTGCTGAGTCATCCATGCTGCCAAGCAGGTCTGAGATTCTGCCAGGACAAATAAATCTGCTATCTTTATTCACAAGGCCTGCGGTATATTTGTGATTTATAAAGTAAGCATTCTAACAGCATCTGCTGTAATATACAGGTAGAGCAAATATTCAGGTATTACTGTATACATAAAAGGACACAGTTCTTCAGCTGAACTTGAGATGTTCCATTCCCAGGCCACTTCAACCAGCCTGTTTGTAAAACACTATACACGGCAAACTACTTTTCATGCCTCTGTTGAATGTGATTGATAGTTCAGGGCAAAATGTCTGCCCAGCAGAGACACTCCACTGCAATTCATCCCAATTCAAAATGTCACAAGCAGGTCAACCCTTTCAGTCTGAGAGGGGACCGTTCCAGTTGTTTAGCAGGTGAATGTCATGAATTTTACGCATGCTCTACTCGGAGAAGCAAGCACTCAGATATTGCAGGATACCAGTATATGCACTTCCATTTTTGAATGTGGCAGTTTGGGTCATTTCAATCCAATAATGCTACATGAATGTATTTTTGATAAAAGTGAATTCCAAAATCTGGAAGGCAACATTTTGAAAAAAGGAATCAAAATCAGGAATAAAAATAACACCACCATTGCCTGAAATAACTTGGAAAGGTGCCAAAAAATGAGGAAATTCTAAGCAAAAATTTTCTTCATTTTTTTTCACTACTCAAGGCATACACAAGACCCCCCCAAAAAATTCAGCTGCTCAGATAAAAACAGATGCAAACACTGATAACTCAAAAAGAATGAAAGAAATAACACAAGGGAAATATGATAAAACTAATCCTACATTACATTCTTTCGCTGAAAAAAAAAAAAAAAAAAAAAGAACCTCTGGCAAAATACTCCATCAAAGCACTAAGATGCATGTACAGGTTCACCCAAATATGTACACACAATTTACTTTATCCACTCAATACTAAGTTCAGATCATGCAACCAAGACTTAAGCCTCAACAGTTCCTGCAATTCAAGTCAGACAGTGCACAGGCTAGAGCCAGTAATTATGCCCATATCTGAACAGGACGCATCTCAAGGAATTTGCCAGGAACTTTGAAATTCAGTTGCTTTGTGCAGAATTCCCCCCCCCCCAGCTGGGGCAGGATGCAGATTTATAATCGGTCTTGCGCAGGAAATGCCTGGGATACCAAGCAAGATGAACAGGGCGTAATCTCCATCACATTTAAGGATGCCATTCTGTATTTAGCAGCCTCAAGGGATCTTCACATCATCCCAGTGCCTCTTGAACAGAATTATACAACTAAAGCAAGGCTGGTTTGCCAAAAGCCAGACACGAAGTATTGAAGTTAACAATATTGCCCAAGGAGGAAACGAAATAAAACAAACAAACAAAAACATCCAAACATGTGACTTTCAAAGCTAAATGCAACATACAATTTTTCTCCCATTAAAATGGCTCTGCTAAGATCATACTGTCAGTGAGCAGAAGGAATTTTTGAAGAAAAAAAAATCAGTCATACATGTGCTATGTCACTCTTAACTAAAACATATTTTTATCAACGTCATGAACACAGTAGAAAAAAATCAGAAGCACTCAGACTGTATAGTCACTGTGTTACAAGAAAAAGGCTGAGTGGAACTCATCTGACTTTTCTTGAGTTGAAAACATTTTGAACTGCTAATCATTTAAGGTAACTGTACTGAGTACCACTAATGAGTTTCAGCGTGAAAACCTGCTCACAGCAGGGGACATAAGAACCCTGATGAAAAATATAAGATGCCCTAAGATGAGGTGTCTAAAAGATAACCAATCTTGTCAATCCCACTGGCTAGTTGTGGACACACCGCATGAGCAGCATATTAAAGGCAAGAGGGACAGTAGATCAGTAAACTGATCGCCGAATATGGGTAGGTTTACACACACCCTGCAGCCTGAAAGATGGTCAGCCCACAAAAAAAGAGTAAGCATTCCAGGACGAGGGAAAATTCTGGATTCTAGGGTGGGAAAAAATTGATGCGCTGAGTAACATTAATCTTGAAGGTTCTTACTTCAAAACAAACACCCAAAATTGGGGTTCATATTTTATACCAGCATGAATGCAATTTGAAGCAAACTGCAGATAATGAAACAGCCACAAGCAGGACATATTGCTATTAAAATTGTAACAGTATATTTGTCCTGATATCACTTTTCGTTTTACTTTGGTTGGCAAAGCTTGAGCCAATAATACAAAAGTGCCACACAACACCTTCATTGCCTTGTGGTTATAAATTTCCCATCAGCATAAACCAGTCTTTAGAATTGATATCACACACCATCCAGCAAGTGCATGCCAATATTCCATGACAAACCAGTCTTGAATTTGAGCTAATGAAAATCGATTTCTTTTACTGTAAGACAAAGCCTCCACAAAGACATGGGAATGGTTTATTCAACACCTGCCCTCAGTCTAATCCTACGGCAGGTGGCTCACAGCAGGGATGGAAATATGGAATGGGGTTAGGGAATTACATCTTAAAGAGTTCCAGAGTCCAGGATATAAGTGATATCCCCGTTAACAATGAATTATTCAGAATTGCGACGCCCATTGAGACATGGATAAGCAGATGAGGTGAATATCGAATGTGTTGATGTCTGGAAGCTTGCCCCATCTTGTATATATTTGTGTCTTTTTTTTTTCCTTCTTTCTTTGTGTTCCGCTGACACTCATCAAAGCTGGAAGCAACTGTCTATTTTCCCAGGGGATAGACAGACTATCTGTACAAAAAGTCTTATGTTTGGAGTCTGAATGAGGGTGGGTTTGGATGGTTTTGTCTCAAATCTTGAAGGCAGGTGGGATAATGCTCTTGGGTTACATTCTCTTTCTGCTTAACACAAAACAGAGTCTCATGCATTGCCTTGAGTCAGAGTCAGTAACATCAGTTGTCAAAGGGTCTGTTAGGGGAACTCTCTCATCTACACTTCTGCTGTGTTTTACAGGATTTGCTATGGTTTAACCTTGACTTTTCTCTTCGTCCATTTTTGGTTCTTGGACCTAGGCCTGTCTGAGCATTTGCAAAAGTGTGCTACGGGTAGATCTACATATGGTGACATCATTAGTGTGTCTCCCTGTGTGTCAAAGGGTTCGCCATGGGATCTGGCATGAGGTTTGTCTTGGGTTTGTTTGTTTTCTGTTTTGGTCTCACCTTTCCTTTGTGCGTTTCATTCAGCCATTCTCTGAGTTCGATCAGTCTGCTCTCCTGCACCAGAGTAAGCGGTCCTAAGTATTGCTTAATGTAATCCTCGTCAACCTTGGATACCTCTGGAGTAAAATTCAGAAACAATACTACATTCAGTTTTGTTTTGCACATTTTTAGAAGTATTTTCACCAAAAGAATAAACAGATTTATTGCTATTAGCATTTGAACAAGGACGAGAAGGTAGCAAATAAAGTCACACTGACAATGATAGAGTGAAAGAACTTGACAGTTGAAAGTTAATATTATGGTCAAGCTTCACTAATTTTTTCTAAAGTTTTGGGGTTGTCTTTGTAACTAGGTAGATTGAAAAAACAAATTGTGTTTAATTGTTTGCACAGCATTACCTTCCTCTGACCCCATTCCACCAACAGCACCCTTCTCCATGGCGCTGGAGGCCAGACGCTTCCTCCGCGGGTTCTCCTTGAAACTGCTCTGCCTGCCCCTTGAGGTGGAGGGTGTCTCCCCTGTCCCCTCACCGCCGTGGGGGCGGTGCCGGTGGTGGTGATGGTGGTGGTGGTGGCTGCCGTGGTGATGCGCCTCGCCATGCCTGCTGCTCATACTGTTGCCCTGCGCTGCCTCCTGGGTCAGCCTCTTCTTGGCTTCTCGGTTGTCCTCGGTCTCCTCTGGCTCAGGCGACGGGGACTCAGAGGTTGTCTTGGTGGGGTCATCCTTGTGGAGTTCCGCCCATGTCGGAGTAGGTTGGTATCCTTCCTCTAGGAGCTCATTGATGTAATACAACAAGATCTCTTTGCCCTAGTGAAAGCAAAGACATCGGGAAAAATAAAACTGGGTCATAAAACTAAATCTTCATTCTGCAGAGTGAGTTTTTCTGTCCCTATTTGATTTTGCCCATTCAGCCTGACAATTTCCCAGGTTTACCTCTCAAGGCTTTACAGAAATTTCCTCTTTCCCCTACTTTCCATTCAAAGTGGAGTCTGAAGGAAAACACAATCTATGAGCATTCTTCAGGATAACTAACACAAGTGTGTAGACACAAACAACAATGGAAAAAAAACCCCAAAATTGGAATTGAACACCGAAAAAAATTCATATATCCATCAAAACAGAAAAAGTAGCCTCCAGTTCATAAAATGTTGGGATATATAGTCTTCAACCGGCTTGTAATTAAAAAAAATCAAGTACATGGACTACGCAGTGCTAAAAAATATATTGTGTTATTGGGAACATATACATGTAAATGTAGTACTTATTCAAATGTTAAAACAAAACTTGGAAAAATCTATCCTCTTCAATTTGACAACATGCATTGTACGTGTACATATACCTGGTACATGTACATATACCTAATTCTGTCAGCCTGTATAAGAAAACTTAGAGTGTTTGAAAGTGCAAACTGAACTTAAATTTGTAGATTCAAGGAAGCTCATGAGAGCAGCAACATGTAGCAGTATGTGCAAGGTATCATATACGATACCATTGTGATGAAATTAACAACATATCAAGCAAGACAGGTATACAAAAAAGCTGATCCCAGAGATATTGTCAAGGTGATTTCCACTGCCAGTCCATTCACAGTTTGCTCACACATCAGTTATGGTGTTTTACGAAAAACTAAAACAAATTTCAAAGATTTTCTCCAACACTTTCGTGCAAATACCGGTATTGTAACAAAATAACAGAGCTTCAATAACCTACACATATATCCTCAAATTATGATGGACAGCATGCACCGACACAATATTCTAAATATAAAGAATAGATTTGTCAGTCTGGGCAGTTCTTTATTTTAAAATACAACTGTCACTGTGTGACGTTCACATTTTGACAGCTGCAGCAAGCTCTGATTATGTGCTATGGTTTTGTAAATTGTGTTTTAAGAGTAAAAAACCAATTGGATATATGTCAATGTTTTCATGAGACCTCTACATATCGACCACTGCATTAACTTTTATTACGGAGTGGGTACCGGTAATTCCATGCTCCCAATGCATATATTTTGCAAAGAGATGGGATCTTGCCCTTCCAGAAGTTAAACTACAGGATAATTCCACAGGTAGCAGACACTGTACATGTACTGAAAGCGATCTGCGCAGTTTGTCCTGTTCAATCATGCAGGTTGCTGTACTACAGATTTAAACTCTGAAGCTGTTTCTTCATCGGAAGTGTCCCCCTGTCAGAGAGATTCTTTTAGAACTTTGGACCTTGTAAGGGTCAGGTAAGGATATGCTTTGCCATAGTAACAGACTGACCCCTCTGCAACCTCCCTTTTGGAGTACAATGTGGGCCAAAAAACTCTCTGAAATTCGCACATAAAAATGTAATTGCTCATAAAATACACGGCAAAGATAGGGCCTTGCTATATAATGTCTATCATTTTCCGACGCCACTGCCTTCACAACAGTGCCAAACTTGATCAGTTTCTGAAAAAAAGACATCAGGATGACACTTCAATTTGCTTGAGGACAGATGAAGCGAAATTGAACAATGTGAATTATGTAAGGAATAAGATGCACTTTGAAAAAAATCAAAATTTATTTTTCTCACTTCACTGAAATACCACAGTAATGTCATCCACTAAATGTGACAATAATTGAAATTTGAATGATTTATTTATTACATTTGTAGGCTAACTACATGTAAATAATCTCAAAGGTTTGTTGTACCTGGATAATGATCAATTTGTGTTTTGAAACATGAAACTGTTTTCATAATAAGGGTTAGCAAAAGCTTATGGGCCATTCTATAAATTTGGGCTCCAATTTTTTCCTGTCCCTGTTACGTCTGGCATAGGATTCTTAATGTTTAGAACTCATTGTTTAATTTCCAAGACTGAATAAGTACTGCAAATTACCTGCCAAACAAATAAAAATAATTTGAAATCAATTTCAGTGATACATCCCTCATCAAACATGTTAGATGGTAGACACGTCAGAGGTAACAGGGATGGAAAACTGTCACACTTTGGACCCCAAATTTATTGAATGATCCTTATCAAAAATCGTGTTTGTGCAACAGAAGGAACACGAACAACTTCAGTGATCGTCTTCAACACCCCCAATACAAACACCTTTTAAGGTATTCTCCATGCTGTTTGTATACAAGAATTATTTTGCCAATTTCCCTTTTGCTGAGAACAACCACTCGCAGTAATTGGAAATTTTATCCATTTTGATGACTGGCCACCTGCTTACAGCTCCAAGCAGCAAATCTGACCCCCAAAACGTACATCACATTGCCCAACTAATTTCTGGAGTGGGATAGGGAAACTTACAGAAATCTGCTGCAAGGCAGCAGTCAGATTAATAAGGATTAGATGGAGGGAGGGAAGCTACGTTTACCTTCTTGAGACTGGCGGCGTACTGCTTGACTGCCATCTTCTCCACGGTGTTTTCAAACCCAAAGAAGGACTTGACCTCCAGGCTAGCCGTCTGTTCAAAGCACGTCCAGTCTGGGTTCTCTGGATGAATCTGGATGAGAGGAATTGCGAGGGACAAAAAAGAAAAGGCACAGGAATTACTGTCTATTATGGGACTCACAATGCTTGATATACAGGTTATGTATCGCTTGTTTCACTGAGAGTAAGACTATCAAAATTCTCCTAGGAATGAATCAATTTAAATAAGAACATCTGTACTTTTCATATGGAAAGCCATCTTTGTTTAAGTAGGAGGCACAGTATTACATTGAGCCAACAGTTGCAAAATTTGTCTGGAAAGAACCAGTACCATCGGGCAAGAAGTGCAAAGCCCGTTGGCCACTGACAAAGTACCCATGCTTCTTCTCTTGTGTATGCCATATGATGAACCACACAAGCTCCAACTAGGAGTAAATTCTGTCTTCCCCTTTGGGCATTTTTGGCTGAAATCCTGCAAGGGGCACCTGGGGGCTGGTTTGTCAGTCCTTGCTTGAGTTATCCCCCATCCAGTGTCTCCCGATATTCCTCCCTCCCACACACCACTCTCCTCTCGTGCAAACATGCTCGCATCAGCTGTTGATCAAATTTTCTTTTCACATTGGGAAGATATCAAAGTGGTTGTTTGGTTTGCCTCAAGCTGTGATCCCACATTCACATTAGCTGCATTATGATTGCATTTGCTTTTAATGCCCATGGCTGATTTTCGCCGGAATGGGAACACTTGGGTGAAGTGAGATTGCAGAAGTGGGTTGAGATCACCTAAAGGCCTTAACGACAAACTTGAAAGGATGGCTTTGTCGGTGAAGCTGAGATTGCAATGTGGGTGAGGGAAATCCCTCAGAGCCTACAAGTAAAATGAAAATCTATGTCTTTTTGCTGCAAGGAACAAGTACGTGTACCTGTGGCCTTTCGGAACCGTTAATCCAGATTCATGTTCTAAAAAGCTGGGGTAACATACGTGTAGGGACAAAAAAGCAGCAAGTGGGTCAAAAACTCTATGACTTCCACAGGGGATTAAAAAATTGACCAACCTACATCTTAATGTGTAAGTTAGCCACGCCCCTTAGACAACCCTATGGAATTGTGCACGATGAGTTGTTCGTCTCAGATTTTGTGTGTCCCACATCCATTTTGCATATTAAACATAATTGGACAATATTTCACAAGTTGCACTAGCACAAATCTACCACAATAGGTCAACTGCTCCATGAAAACTTGTCCAAAACATGTTGTAAGAAATAACGACCAAGAATCTCACAGTAAAACCACTGCTACAAGCAAATTACACAGCCAGGGAAGCTAGCGGGAAAAACTGAATTCAGATAATTTTAAGATTCAGAGGTGGGTGTTCAGTGTGTCATCTAGCCATCAATCCACCTGTCCAGAGAAGAAAGAGGCAAACTTACGGACCCTGGGCAGTTTTTGCTTGTACAAAATTGACAAACCCCCAGTTACTACACAAATTTTCAACACTGATGAATAAATCATTAGATTTCCATCCAAAGCAATAAATATGGCACCCGAAACATGGGCTCTGGTAGCACCTAGGGGTAGCTATTTCACAATCGTTTGCTGGGAGTGGACAGGATGTTTTTAACATTGCCGGGGCCGGGAGAAGGGGGAGACAGGCAGATACATGTATTGTAATCCTAGATGAAACGCTGTGGGTCTTGTTGGAAATCTTACAAATTCCACATCTGCATGCGGAGTACAAGGACCTAAAAAAATTGCTTCATCCAATGACATTTCAATCAATAAACAATGCACGCAATGGCTGTATGTTCATGTATAGGCTGGATATGTTACCATATATGTGCTTACAGTTCTGTTCCACTTCCCCTTCTGATGCGTAATTTACAGCCAGCAGCAGCCAAGGACTTGCACTTCAGCAGCCCGACAAGGACAGGCTTTACATGTCAACCATTCCGGCCTGTTTGTTTTTTTCAGTTGATATGCCATTCAGCCATACTGCCTTCTCCATAAAAGCTTGATTCAAGGGAAGAAAGGCATTGTCATCTAAACAGGGCTTTGTTCACAAGGCACTGCGTCATTTCCATCCTTGAAAAAATGGAGGATACACCTACGGTACTTCGTTGAAGAAAAGTGGACTTATCCTCTTTGAAAATGTGAGATCACTATATGTGAGTCAGGAAGAGATTTGAAAAGCTATACAATTTAAGCCATTATTTATCATATGAAAGTCATGTTTCTCCCTTTCAAATTACAAAATTTTAGTAACCTTTTCCTTTCCTGTCCACAAAACTGCAGCTGTAAGATGCAGTGTGTGCCAATGCGCGATATTCTTTACCTAAACATTTTGCATCGCCCTTCTTTATAAAAATTGTATTCATAGTTTATTTACTCGCTTGCATTCATGACACAAGGTTACATTCATGTGGTGTGCTATTTCGGACTGCCCTGGATGGAAAGATTACTCGTGTTGCCCTTACTCTTGGCATCTCACAGACTTTTGTACAATCATCTTTTGGTACAAGTTTTCCTGTTGGCAACACACAGATAATACTGGCAGTCAGAGAACCTTAAGTGTCGTCTCGAGGCATGCCAAGCACAAAATATTTAATCTGGGTGCAGACGCAAACAGCAATAACGAGGTTGCTATGGTAACAGTGATGCACTTCACTTAATGAGTGGATGTCGATTGCAGATCTGAATTAATAAACCGAGCTTCCGTCTGGTCGCACGCGGTGCTGGGGTAAAGATAGCCAAAGGTGGCTTACGGGCAAACTCACACAAACTCCTTACTCAAATATACCGGTACACACCCCAAATTGACTTTTCCTGCCTTCCGTGTACATGTATCTCTGAGAAGACTCATCGCAGGTGGCAGGGAGGTTGGAAATATCTTCATGCTGATCATGAACCAGTTTCACCCATGTGGCGACTGGAATGTCAACTCCATTTGCTGGTTTGAGAAAGCCTTAGAAATGGGCATTGGTCTCGCTTGAATACGAAGTTGGCTACCTCATCAGGGCTAACAAAGAGTATACAGTACATTGTGAATGAAAGGGAATAGGACAGTTTGAAAGGAATTTGTTCACATTCACATTTTACAAGGTGCGAAAATAATTTGTTCCCACTGGGGTGAAAATTTTTTCACACTTGTGGTTAAAACTTTGCATTTTTGTGAAATGAATCCCCCTGGAAGAGAAAAATTGAAGAGAATTTCCCATTCCCGGGTTAACTTTCAATTGCAATGTACCAGAAGTGCAAAATTGAAATTTACTGGATACACAGATGTCAATGCCTCAGTACAAACAAAAGCAGCTTATCTCAATGGAATAAACTGTTCAAAACCAGCTAGAGGTATAAAATGAAGTCCTCTGATTTTGCCCAGTTACTTGATCCCTATGGAGGCAAACAACTGACAAAAGGAATTCTTTTAAACGAAACATCAAAGATGTTCACAGCAGCAGAAACCAAAGGAGTGGAACAAGCCAATTGGTATCATTTTAGGGGATTAACCAGAGACATGACAGACTGAAACCATCTACCTAGCATTAGTTTATTCCCCATCTTCCTGAAATGCCTTCCTCCTATACCAAACAGGTAACAGGCTAACTATAACACAATACCCCTCCCCCCAAAAAACACTCTGCACTCTTGACACAAGGAAAGGGTCCAAATGTAGTAACAGTCCAACAGGCCAAACATTACAGATTTCTTTTTTTTTTCTGGGAAACAAGCTTTTGGAATTTTTTGACTACCTTTGTTAAATATTACATGTTAAGCTGGACAGATGGGGGATTAGATCGTAAAAATTTCCAGTTGCCATGGCTCCCCAAACAAAACCATTAAATTAATGGGCAAGAGAGACAGATCTTAATAAGCCTTTTGCGAGTTAACTTTGACCCAGACCTGGTACACTGAGTTCTTTAATTCATGTGAACATAACAACTTGAATTCTCCTTACTAAAACCACTGTTGCTATACCTCGTGATTCGGGGCAAGCTTTTGCTTAGTTACATAAGAGACACCTTGCAACAATACACTGTTCTCAATGGATATGAATGGCACAAAGGAACCAGTCTATTCCAGAGATGGTGATCGCTATGCGAAAGCTTACCCTGAATCAGGAGGTATAGCAACAGTGTCTTTAGTCTGGGGAATTCGAATCGTTGTTTGCACGTATGTGCAAACAGATAATTCAGTGTACCAGATTTTATTCAAATTTAACTTGCATATGGCCTATTTATGGAGACTCATGCAGACAGCATGGTCACATGCCGATCAGTGCCTTAAACAACAACCACTGTAAAGAAGGTTGCATGTACCCTACGACGTGGTATGCACAAACTGGTTATATTAATTTGTTCTATATGCATGGCTTAACAAGAATCATGAAGTGCCCAGACTTAATCACGTCATAATCAGTACAACTTATTAACTACTGGTATGTGTATGCAAAGATGCACTCTTGACAAAGTTTTCTTTTCAGTCAAAATTAGTCAAATGACCCCTATGTGTCTGTTTTGTGGCAAATCAACTGGAAGGAATTTTTGACTGTCCGTGCCTGTTACAGCAAAAGGAGGGTTAACTGCCAAACTAAGCGGCAGAAGAGTGAGTGAACATGCAGCAGTAAATCCGCAGTTTTGCCTTTCACCTCTGCCGTCTGGATTTGATTTGTGGCTTGGTCCGTGTGGATTGGGTTTTCACTCCCTACATAATTCCAGGGGCTTTAGCTAAAACATTCTCGGGGGGGTTTTCTTCCCACATCTAACACTGTACAAGTAATCTGTTCTCATTGTCTGTTCTCTACAGGTTTCTTCAGGCTTGCGAGCTACAGTGCCTCGGGTGCTTTTGAGGGATCCTTGGTTTCATTACCAGAAGACTTACTTATGTGTCAGAGTCACATGGTTTTAGTAAGCACAGATTGAAAATGTAACTTGTAAGACAGGGTCATTCTTTCTAGAAACAAATGACACAGCAATTGTCAACAAAAACATATTTCCAGTAAAGGCAACACTTTTGTGAAAAAATCCAATTTGGGTCAAGCTGATTTTTTTTCTCAACGGGAGAGAGAACAGAGTGACA